TATAGAACCTCCATGACAAATCTTTTCATTTGGCTTTATTTTACTGTGATAATACATGTGAAAAAAGGAATTCAGGCCCCTTCAGAATCATCTGATTATGCACGAGGTCCTGGATTCAATCCCCAGTACCTCTTTTGAAATAAATAAATAAACCTAATTACCTCCTCCCCAAACAAACAAAAACAATAAATAGATTTTTTAAAAATAGAACCATCTGATTTACTACTTTATCTAATACTACTACTCCATTTCACTTGGCATTTGAACTTAAAATCATTTTGGCTCCAAGTGATTGCTTACTCTAAGGGGTGAGTTTTGGCCTCGGAACATGAAAAAGGACCACATGCGCTCCTGGCGGACGGCATGTCCCAGTGTTAAGATGACCCGTGCCCCATGGCACTCAGTCAAAGCTCTGAGGTGGTAATCAATCTGTAACTGAAAGATTTTTTTTGTAGGCTAAGGCTTTTAACTTCTTGTTGAATACACTGAGATTTTGATTTGCCATGATGAAAACAGTGAGGTCCAGTCGAGTTGGTGCTGCTTTTGATGAATGAGAAAAGAGCAGAAGGAGGCTGCCAGTGAGCGCGGTGTTCGTGGCTGGCGAGGGCGGGTGCTGCACTGCGCATGGTGGGTGTGAGGGCTTTGCTGTAGTTTGCTATTCCTGTTTGAAGACACTGGCGGTCTAATTGGATCTGTGGACAAGACGCTTTCAGAATGGTGTAACTGAGCCTCTTCCCTTGTTACTGGTTTTCTTCCAGAATTTGACCATCAGTACCTGTGCTGCAAGCACAATTTTCTCCGTTTGCAATCACTTACAATGAGTAATATCAGACATTATTTTCTTGTTACCAACGGGAATAAACACCCACGGATGCAGTTTTCAGTAATGCTGCCTTCCTGCTTCTATTGTGAAGAGCAAGACAGGTTTATGTAGTAATCAAGCGACATTTGATTAAAAGCTGTTCAGTCATGGATGTGGTTAAGTACGAAGTCTGATTGAACTTGAACTAGTTACCACATTCTTGAGGTGCTTAACATCTGTGATCATACTGATGCAAACAAGCATTTTCTATGGTAGGGAAACAGAATTTAAAATACAGACCACGGCCCTGGAACTTTATCTTTCTTCTAAAAAAAATCCAACATTGGTGGTTTTCTTTCAACAAAATTACAAAATTTGCCAAAATAAATTGTTGCTAGTCTTGAAACTTGATTGTTTTGTAGTTTTGGTCATATGGTTCCATAAGAGGTTTAAGCACAAAATTAGTTGTATGTTTATTCATAAAATAATTTAGGGCAATGCAGGAGGGAGGTCCGTGATTTTTGTTTTCTTCCAAGTTGACTGGCAGGTTTGAGAAAGGCTGGGTTTTTACATGGTGTCTTTGCTTTGTATTCTGTTTTTTTTTTTCCTCCTGCATGTCCTCGTAGCCCTTTTATGATTTTCAGTTGTTGAAAGCTATGAACTGTCAGCGAACCCCTGTTTCTTATCCCCTTGGTGTATTACATGGCCGAGGGAGTAAAGAGGAAGCTGGAATCATACAGCGCTGCCATTGATGCTAGATTCTTGGATGGTAACAACTCCCGTGACCCCCGTGGGGTCAGGCTGATGGGCAGAGACGGCTTTTGTGAAGAGGCCCCTGCCAGACAGAGCACCGGTGATGTCCTTCCAAACAGACAGAATTTGATTTAGGACCTTTTTTTAAAAGTAAAAATCACTTATGCAAATTCTGTGTTGAAAACTGAATTTTTTAAGAAGTTGATTGCAGTGGCTTTCAGGGGAGAATGAAAACGTTTTGAATGTGAAAAGTCTGTTTTTTAAAATTCTCGTTCAGTTTGTGTTTACTTTTTTAAAAAAAAACTGATTTTATGAAGATTTTTCCAGAACTAGGGATGAAAAAGTTCTGGGTTCTATATGTCAGGTATAAAATATTTCTAATGAATATATGTATATTGACTAATTTTAGCATTTTTCTGAAAATGAAATGTCTTTTGCTGGTACTTTTTTAAAGTACTGTTCAGATAGGTTTAATCTTAAGCTTAAAAAAATTAAGATTGTTAAAATTCAAATTGTCTTTCATCGTGCTGTCCTTTGGAATCTGTGGATTGTGCATTTAGATGTGATAATATATAAATTGATGTTTCAAAGCCTTATTTTTCTGGGATAGTTATCAGCAGCTTGTTTATAATCCTGCACACTCACTTTTGTCGAATGTTTCCACTTTCTTGCCAGATTCTAAAGTTTGAGATGGCACATTATCTACTGTAAGTCACTTAACACTTGCAGGTTGGGAATTTTTATGGCCCCTGTTAATATTTGGAATTTCCTAGGATCATAAGACCTTTGAATACTTGTTCTGGTCCTTCACAGTCTGTTTGTAATTGTAGACCATTCATGGAAACTTCTGTTTCTCAAAGTCCTTTTTACTTTTGGAAATAGTTTATATGGATTAGCAATTAAGAGCATTTTCCCCCTCTTTTTTATTTTGATGTGGATTACCTGTGCATACATATTAATTCCTTGAAGGATATTTACTTAAGAAAAAGGACACTGAAATGTGGGTTTTTTCCGTCTTGACTATGCAAGGGCATTGATGTAGACGTGTTTGTGTGACTGGAGTGATTCTTGATCTTTGCAGTGACATGGATCTGACGGCGCCGATGGAAGAGACCACAGGGCTGGAGGAGTCCCTGGGCCCCCTGGAGGAGGAATCTCCAGCCAAGTAGGTGTTTCAGTCCTTTTCCTCATCGGGTTGTTGGTCTTTTTCTTAAGGATTTCTAAGAGCTCTTTGTAGCGCAGGGAGGTCAGCCTTTTGCCGTACATCGCAGAGGGTTGATCTTCTTCATGTGTTAATGAGTAATCGAACTAACAGATCATTCAAGTAATCTAGAGAATGGTTATTAATGATGATTAATGGGTTAAATTCAAGTTAAATTCTGCCCTGTGCCCACAGCGTCTTTTCCAGCAGCAGACTGTACTGTGACTCGTCTGTCTCTCATCAGGACCCCATCTTTTGGCCCTTTCTTCTCCACCAGTCTCTCCTCCCTCTGTTCTCCATGGAGCTTACTTCCCTGGTCCACCTCCTTGCCGAGTCTTTAAACTCCCTTGCCCCTTGGATCTTTTAAGTACCTTGTTAGCAAAACCCACCTCCTGGATGTCCGCCAGCCGTCTGCCTCCTCTCTGCTTGCGCCCACAGGCTGAGCACTGCAAGTGACTCAGCAGGGCTGACGGGGCCCCTGGAAATTCCTGACAGCCACACTCCAAAAGGGGCCCTCAACGCCCCCCAGCAACACCCATCTCTTGGGTTTGCTCTTTCCCCCACCCACTGCGATGACTGGTTCAATCCTTCTTGTCTCCTCAAAGCCCTGATGCTGCCCCCCATGACCCCCTTCCCCTGTGCTCCCCACAGCTCGTCTGTCACTTTCTGGGTAGCTGAACCTCCTATGACACAGAGAAGTTAGGAGCCATCAGATGGGAACTTCCCAAAGGTGCAGACCTGCCTGCACCTGCCTGCTGGCCTCCTTCCCTCGGGGCAGAATGGAGGCACCGTCTCTCTGCCCACCTTTTTAGCCTTTGGATCCTGCGTCCTGCTGACTTCACAGAAATCGCACTGTCCTTTAGCTCCTTCCTCTCTGGGTGTACCCACCTCCTTCCTTCCAGCTCTGGGCTCTTCCAGCCAACATTTTTCCCTGCTCACGCCCTCCTGCTTTATTTACACCTCGTGTTGCGCCTCCATTCTCGCTCAGCTGCCTTGTGCAGGGTGTGCACAGTCTTTCTTCATTTCCTCCCCTCTCACTTAACCCTCACTTCACTCCAGGTCTGGCCGTGTCTGCATTGCCCCTCTGAAGTACTTCCCATGGGCCTCCACACCTAGCAGGTGTTTCTTTCTTGACCTTACAGGCACACCTCAGAGATACTGTGGGCTCCGTTCCAGACCACCACAATAAAGCCAGTATCACAATAAAGCGAGTCACACAACTTTTTGGGGTTTCCCACTGCGTATAAAAGTTATGTTTACACTATACGGCAGTCTGTATTAATGTGCGATAACATTACATCGAAGAAAAGTACATACCTTAATTTAAAAATACTTTATTGCTAAAAACTGCTGCCCATCCTCTGAGCCTTCAGTGAGTCTTAATCTTTTTGCTGGTGGAGGGTCTTGCCTCAGTGTTGATGGCCACTGACTGACAGGGTGGTCATGGCTGAAGGTTGGGGTGGCTGCAGCAGTTCTTAAAATAAGGCAACAGTGAGGTTGGCCTTCCTGATCCTCTCTTCCTACCACTTGAACACTTGGGGTTATTACTGGCCTGATTTCAATATCGTTGTGTCTCAGGGGATAAGGAGGCCCCAGAAGAGGGTGAGAGACGGGGAGGCCAGTGGTGGAGCAGTCAGAACACACAGAGCATTTACTGATTAACGAGTACAGTAGTGACATCAAAGATCACTGATCGTAGATCACCATGACAAATATACTAATAATGAGAAAGTCTGAAATATTGCAAGAATTACCAACACGTGACCCAGAGACAGAAAGTGAGCAGATTGCTGTTGGGAAAATGGTGCCACTAGGCTGGCCCAACGCAGGGTTGCCGCAGATACTCAGAAACGCAGTGTCTGTGAAGCACAATAAAACGAGATACGCTTGCATTGATTTTTTTCTTCCCTGCCACCTCCCGTTGGTTTCTGCGTGCTTCTGGCTTTCCTCCTGCTTCTCAGCTCCTCCTCTGTAGGCCCATCCTTGTCTTTCTGCTCCTTTAAAATGTGGGGTTCCTCAGGGCCTGCCCTAGGCCCTCTTGCCTCTGATGTTTCATAGACTCTCATGTACTCCTGCAGCCCGAAATGTCATTTAACCCCTGACTCCGACCTTCAAGATGGATGGCGGGCCCGTGTGTCCATCTGGCCCCTGGACACCTCCCCATGGACGTCCCCAGTGCTCCTCGCACTCAGCATGGCCAGGACTGAGGTCCGCGTGCCCTGGGCCTCGCTGGGTGTTTCTGTCTTCCAGAGCAGCATCGCTGTGCATCCAGTTGCACGAACCAGAAACCTATGAGTCATCCTTGAGATTTCCTTCTTCTTGACTGCCTGTCTCCCCCAGATCCCATCTGTCAGCCTGCCCTGAGGATTTGTACCTTTTTCTGTCTACCCTCTCTGCTCACCACCGTAGTCTCAGCAAGTGCCATCTGCTCCCTCACCTTAGCTCCTCATGGGCTCCCTGCGTTCTCGCCACCTACCAACCCGTTTTCACACCCAAGTGGCTTTCACACTGGCATTCTGATTGTCATGCCCCCACCCTTCGGGTCAGACCCCCTGGTGGCTTCCTGTCCTTTTTCTGTCCCTTGCCCGGACCTGCAGGGTCCTGCGTGGTCTGGCCCCTGAAGAGCCCTCAAGTTCAGCTGCTCCTGTGCCTTCTCCAGGCTCACCACGTGGCCCTGATTTCATGTTTCCCAGCACCTTCTCCAGCTCCTGGGCCACACCCACCAAAGGGCTTTTGCAAGTGCTGTTTTCTTGTCTTTCTGTACCTTTCCGCCAAAACCCCTCCACCTCTTCACCTGTTTCTTTAACTCGAACTCATCCTTCAGCTGTGAAGAGGCAGGGTGTCTAGTGGTTAAGAGACCAGACTCTAAGCCAGGGTTCTGCGTTCAAATCCCAGCTCTGCCATTTACTAGTTTGCGCAAATTGTTTAATCTTTCTATGCCTCAGTTCTCATCATCTGTAAAATGGGAATAATAATAGTACGTACATCAGAAGGCTGTTAGAAGGATTGGTTGGGTATGCGTGTATGTGCGTGTCGTGTAGAGTGGGGCCCGGCATGTAGTTTTTGCTGTATAAGTATCTGGTATTATTATTGTTACTTATTACAAGAGTAAAATGCTACAGTGATTGATGATTGTGAAAGCTGTTAATTTACTACTCAAAACAACTGAGAAACGTATTTAATTAAAGAAATAGATTAACAGTGAATATGAACATGTAAACAGTGAGTTAACTAAGAGAAAGTGATTTAACCAGATACTTTCAGGAAAAATCAGATCCTTTTTGAGCCGATAAATTTATACAAATTCAGGTACTATAAGGCAGAATCATAGAGAGTAAATTATAGCATAATTATAACCTTTAGAATTAATAGCATAATTTATAATCTTCAGCATTTGTAATATTAGACAAAAATAATTCTTTCAGTTAATCAGTTATTCTGAGAGACAAATTGATAGTTAACGATTTGGTGGCAGTGTCATTGTCTGCAGTAATCTAGCGGAGCGAGTCAGCAGATCTCTGTCTCCCTCCGTCTGCTGACCGTGGTGGGCAGTGGGCAGCCAGTCAGCTGCAGGAGCCAAGCAGCCATGGTCTAGTAGCCGACCGAGCTGAGAAACTCCTATTTCTGCACTGCCTGGCCAAACTATAAAATCATGCCTGAAATTTATAATAATACAATTGCAGTTTTTTTCTGGTTTCAAAATTTGGTTTGTATATACGTTCTAGGATGGAGATGCTCTCTGGTCCCGGCTCTGTCTGAATGTTGATCTAACACTCAAAACGTTTGGCGTTCAGCCAGAATGTATATTTAGCGCACTTCTCGGTTTAGAACTTCTCAGTAGGTGAATTTAACGTACCCTTGCTTATGTTCAAACCTACAACCCAAAGTACATCTGTTTTCCTCAAATTGGACACATTTCGTTGACCGTTACATGTGCCACGCCCTTGCTTCCTCCCTTGTTTCATCACACAAGTACACGTTCCTTGTCACGTGGTGTTCTGATGTCTCAGGATACCTGTGACAGCTGCCTGTGTTTTGCTTTCAGAATAAATCAAGCATTTATTGAGCATTTGTTGTGTGTGAGGAACCCCTCTAAATGCTCCCATGGCTTAACTCATTTAACTCTTTGCTACCCGTGAAGGAGAGGGGACTGTTAATTATCCTCATGCTGAGGTGTAAAGAGCTTGGTGTAAGTGGCAGAGCCGGAATTTGAACCAGGTAGTGTGGCACAGGCATTCGTGTTCTTAGCTGCCCCCCACGTGAGGAGTGGCTGAAAGTGCCCTTAGGAACTACAACTTGGAGAAGGTGGTCCTGTGAGCAGGGAAAGAGCTGCCAGGGTCACTGAGGGTTTCCCCTTCAGTACCGTGGACCAACTGCCATTCTTAAAAAGGAAAGGGATGAGGAAGCATTATTACAAAATATCTACAATGAGTTATTTTTATTGTGATGTGTTTCTAGGGGTATGTGCCTAGATTGTTATGTATAAATGTTCTTAAAGCAGGATCATACCTCTGTACAATTTTTACCCCAAACTTATGAGGAGCTCAAAGTTTACCATGAAATTCACTTCCCTTTCAGGACTTTGGAAGGAAGTGAGAGGTATTATTTACATGTTAGGTCAGATCCAGTTAAGTATTCAGTGAGTAAAGTTTTACTTCTGGAACCCATTTTCCGTGATTCACCGCACACGTTCATGTATTCAGGTGACAAGGTATTTCCTGAATGGAAGTTTGGATGTTTGAATTGATGATTTGTACGCTTCCTCTGGCCATGTCTTGGCTATTTTCCATCTAAGCATATTTTTCTTCCTCTTATTCCCTAATAGCACAGAGGTTAAATGTGGGCTTTGGAAATAGAATGCCTGGATGTGAAGCTTGACTCTTCATTTCTTTGTTAGCTGTCTGACCTGTCTCCCTGATTTTCTTACCTATAAAATGGAGCTGTTAATTTTATCTAACTTGTGG